CAGATATTTTGGAATACTAGTTATTGTACGACCAGCCTACTAACAACTAATGTAAGACGTGTTTGAATAGTGATGGCCATTTTGTTCAGAAGACATGAAGCTGAGAACAATATTACCTTCGGCTCGTGTGGTATCACTAGCAATTCCAATAAATAACGTTATTGCGCACACGTAGTTGGGGTGGTGTTATCGCCTAATCCGTGACTGCAGCAGCTAGCTCCCCCTCTGGGGAGTGTGGTTGGCTGCACCTTCTGTCAGGGGACGAGGGGTGACGAGAAACGGTGCCACAGCGCGAAGAGAGATGGCAACGGCGGAAGTGAGCAGCGAATGGGCCACTTCCGGGCGATATAGGTGGGCGATTCGTTTTTTTTCTCAGAAATCGAACTCCCTCACTCCCCTCCTCCTGCGGGCGACCTACGCCAAGGCCAAGGGAGATTACTTGAGTGGAAGACGAGATTATGTGACACTTCTTTCTCCCTCGTGTTATTACACAGATACAGCGCAATAATTCATAGTTATTGCTACACATTGAAAAAGGCCATAACAATTTGGTTAACTTGTGGAGTTTCGCGGACTTCTAGTAAAATAAAATTCTCCAAGTTTCCGGTTTGAAATAAAATAAGAAAACAAATTAAAAAATTTCTTATGACTAGCACTCTTGTGACATACAACGAACCATGACAGATGCTTCAATTGATTGAATGATTAATTGATGTTTCCTGGCACGTCAGCCCCTGGAGTAATTAGTGCTATTAGTGGATATCTCATTAAAATAAATATAAAACTCTGGGGTGATAAACAAACTTTTACAATTTAAGGGTTCTCAAAATATATTTTATCAATTACTTTGCACTTGCTTGGTCTGCATAAGTATTAATCCAACCCTGTCCGTGACTTAACCATCTGTATAGGAAAGAGAGTCGGTGTCGCTCTAAAGCAACGCCATTTTGTTGGTTCGCGCTGGTTCAACCTGTTAATCCGGGCTCCGCCGTACCTCTTTTTGCTGATGGCGGCGAGGGGGGGGGGCGTTGCGGGGACCCAGCGGGGTTGTTGGCAGCGGCTGCTCATCCTGCTGCCCCACCCCCGCTCGCATCAAATGGCTGTTCTTCGGGAAGGGCTCCTCCGTTCGCTTCCGTCGGCGTTGCCGCTTCGACCTCAGGAGTCAGGCAAGGTTTTGGCAACAATGCGCGTTTGCTAGCGTTTGCGAGGGTTCACGATCACCTTTACACTTGGTTGTTTTAGTAATTGTGACCAGGGGCGCTCAGTGCAGTTGGGGCAACTTGTCACAAGTCTCCACTTAATTGAGGTCCCTAATTGTTTTTCATTCAAAAAAGTGTATTTATTTCTAATTTAAATTAACCAATGATAGTTATTTTTGTTGCTTGGAGAAATGAATTACGTTTTTTGCATTGAGAGGGAAGCTAAACTTTTGCTTGAAATAAGGAGTCCTCGTGGATGTATTGGTCCAGGCTTGTTGTTTTCTCCGAGGGCTCCTGATTGAGAGTGCAAATAGATGTGCATATTAAGCCACAAGTCTGCAACGTGTATACATACATATATATATATATATATATATATATATATATATATATATATATATTAATTAATCACATACTTTGGGATTATTTTAATAATATTTTACAAAGCTGAAAATAGGGAATATATGGAGCTCTAGTTAGTAGTTTGTGTAGGTAATTTTCGATTTTGAAAAGACTTATTCACTTCATCGACAAACGAACACTAAAGAGTGAAAAGAGAAATGATAAGATTGTCGCTTTCTGTATTAACCGTATTATCTTTTAAAAGTTTCAAGATTAAGATGAAAGTAGACAAAAAGTATTAAATACTCAACTACATTGAGGTCAGATTACCATTTTACAATCTGACATTAATCGCAAGACGCTTTATTTTTGTTTCTCTTGTGTGTGCTGTGTCGTTTCATAGAGAAAATATTTCTCTTTCGTTCAACCGCACTTCCCACTTCACGCCCTCGCTCCAGGTTCCGGAGCAGAGAACGAAGCTTCCAAATCCCGCCGCAGCAATCTAACGGCGCTAGTTGATACATCGGACGTCTATCCAATTAAACTGCGGTGCTTTAGGGTTGCGCGCGGTCGCGAGGAAGTGGCAGTGCGGTGCCAGTAGAGGCAGTGTGGAGAGTCATGGCGGGGAGAGTCACCGCCGGAAGAATCACGGCGGGGAGTCACAGCCAGAGAGTCACGGCAGGGGGATCGCGGCGGAGGAGGCACGGCGAGAGACTCAATGCGAGAGAATCAAGAGGGAGTCACGGTAGAGGAGTCACGGTAGAGGAGTCACGGTGGAGGAGTCACGGTGGAGGAGTCACGGTGGAGGAGTCACGGTGGAGGAGTCACGGTGGAGGAGTCTCGGCGTGGAGGTCAAGGTGGGTGAGAGTCATGGTGGGGGCGGGGAATGAAGCGGGGAATCACGCTGGGGGAGAATAACGGCGAGGAGAGTCACGTCTGGGAGAGAGTTAGGAGGAAGTGTTATGGCGGGTAGTCACGGCGAGGAGACTGACGAGAGAGACATAGGACGAAGTCATGTGGGAGAGTCACAGAAGAGAAGGGTCATGGCGGGGAGGGTCACGGTCGGGGGAATGGCGGCGAGCACAGTGATGGCGGGCTGGGAGAGTCACAGCGTTCAGATTAATGTCGGGGAGAGTCCAGAGTCATGGCGGGGACTGACATGGGGAAGTGGATGGGTTGGGGGAATGCGGGGCAAGCGGAGGAGATGGAGGAGGAGCAAAAGGGCCGGGGAGGCGCGAGGCTGGGTGGATCCCGACGCCGGCGAGTACTTAACGGGCGTGGCGCGCGTATAAAAAAAGTTCGCACGGCGGCCGACGGGGGAGGCGTTGGAAGAGTGCGCCCGCGGGAGCCCGTACGGGCGGGGGTCGGGGTCGGAGGCTTGTGGGGGAGGATGCGCTGGAGGGGCGGCGGGAGGGTGCTTATGAAATTAGAAGAAAGTGCTCACTTGCCCTTCCGCCCGCGCAGAGAGCGCTCCGAGCGGCCGTCCAGGGAGGCTCCGCGCTCATCAGGAGTTAAGCCTTGCGCTGTTAATGACTTAGGGCTCCGGAGAAGGATAAAAAGAAAAGAGACCTGCATGGGAAGAGCATTTCGGAACTGGCTTATGCGGGTAGGGCGTGGATACGTGGCAATGAGATAAACAGGTGTCAGTTTAGGAGAGTGAGCAATTTTATGTTTGTATGGCGCGTGAATTCCCCACGGTATGATCCACGCTAGAATAGTTAGGGAGAATATAATGAACATCGACACATTTATGAGTGATAATGATGATTTGCCCCAAAACGTTGTGGAGCGTGAATTATCGCTGGTATATATTTCTGGGAAACCAAATTTTGATGCGGATTTTGACACAGTGAAAAAATTATAAATATATTTTTAATTATCAGTACTATAATAAAATCAAAATGATGTCAAACAATGCATAAAAATAATTATTCCTGATGTGATTTTAATAAAGTCGTGAGAGCATACATATTTAATATTGTTCGAAGAGAAATATCACTTCAAAGTGGTAATATTTGTTTAACTGACGTCTTAAAGAAAGTTTCATTAACATTTGCCGAAAAACGTCCGGGCAAAGCAGAGATATTTCAAGTTACGACGAAACGTATCTGATACGCCATTAGATTGGACACAATAATTCGCTCAAACACATGTTTAGAAAACACCTCAACGTTGAGAATGTAATCAAACACAGTTTACGATCAGAGCGTAGGCTTCCGCGGCCGGAGTATTTAATTGGCTGTCCGGGTGACGCCGCGACCATGGCAAAGGTGCCGACGTTTCGGTCGCAGTTTACGATATATATATATATATATATATATATATATATATATATATATATATATATATATATATCATTAGTTCTTAAGACAAAGTAGCACTCCTTATTTGAAATAAAAATTTAATTCTGATGATTTTAAAGAACTTCATTTTCTACACAGATACAGCAAGATTAGCTCTAAAGATTATGATCGCTATGCGATCGAACAGATCTTAAGTATTAAAAATATGGGAACTACACAACAACTTTTTCTCAGACTCTCATTTTGAAATTATAGAGGTTAACGGTTGTCGATTCTGCAAAACGATTGCTAAAATATTTCCTTGCAATAATAGCTGCGATATCTAAGTGACTAACGGCTGATTATTTTACAAACATATGAAATGTGAATTTCCTATCCTTAAGAAAATTATGTCAACTAGGTATTTAACTCTGTTTACACTACCATAACCTTATGTAGCTCTAGCGAGATACCGTTTTCTTTCTGCTTCATTGACACGATATTCAGTCAAATAACGCCAACGTTCACCGCTTTCTGGAGTACACTTAGACTACCTGCAAAACTGTTTGTATAGAAAAACAAAGCGACTTCTGAAACCTTCTATTCTGAAAATGTGCCAACAAATATTTAACGTTAATGTCGGAAATAAGTAACCAATAAATTTTAGCGACACTTTCGCACTTGCGAGCGGACGCTTGAAATCGACATTAAATTATTAATACAATATAAATCAAAACGAATTATTAAAAAATTATGTGTTGCCAAAGCTTTATGCTCCTTGAGCCTCAAATTACATGATGCAACCCTTGATATCAGAATTGTTGGTATTTTCGACACCCGGAAAATCCACAAAGGTTGTCTTACAGACAGCATGTCAAGGCAAAATACCTGGATAAATTACGCCCTCCGACAACTTCCGTCCCAAGCAAATCCTATTTCCGCTAATTTGGGGGTCGCCTCAGCAATAGATACAGACAACTGACACAGTCGTGGCGCTCCGTAGCGGTTAATAGAGGAGCCAAAACCTACCTGTAGTGCTAAAGTCTACTAGTTACTAATATAAACAGAAACTCTCCAACGATTTCGTCAACGTCGGTGTATGTCAATGAATGAATTTCCAGTTGCCCGAAAATTACAAAAAAATAATATAAAAAAAAGCAACAACAGACGAACCAACCTTTGAGATGGGCAGTACGGCTTGGATGTCGTCCTTCTGCACGTCGAGTCGTGCGGTCACCTTCCGCTTGGCTTCCTCGCCACCGCCGCCGCCGCCGCCACTGCCGCCGCCGGCGCGTCGCATTGCGCGCGCGCCGCCCGCGAGCGTGCCCGCCGCCCGCCGCCGAGCGGGTGGCCGTGGGCGTGGCCTGCGGGGCGCGGCGGCGGCGGCTTGCGCGTCCGCCCCGAGGCACGTAGCGCACCGACCAAAACCACGCCCGCGTCGTACAGGTCGGCGCGTCCTCGACACCTCCCGCAGACGTGAACATACTCCTCGGCCCCCTGGGGAACCAGCGGCACTTCGTGTAAACATACGTATTTCAAGGCAATGTTTTAATGAACTGCAGTCAAAATGGGGAGGTGCTGCACGGATCAACTAATTGTGCGTCCTCCGTACACTCCAGCAAGCCAGTGAACACTCCCTCGGCCCTGCGACACACCAGTAGCGCACTCGTGTGACGGAAAACGTCAATTCAGTCAATTTTAAAATTAACTAGTCAAAATCGGGGGAGGTGGCTCAGGGCATCAACTAATTCGCGTCCTCCGACACCTCCAGCAGCCACGTGAACACCTCCTCGGCGCCCCTGCGGACATACCAGCGCACTTCGTGTAGACATACGTCATTCAAGGCAATTTTAATTAACTAGTCAATATCGGGGGAGGTGGCACAGGGCATCAACTAACCCGTGTGCTTAAATGTGTAAAAAAAACATCATTTTATCAATTTTGAATTAGTGATCCTAAGGAATCAATGTAAAATAGAATGCAATGTGTTACAAGTGATGTACTGATAAATGACATAACACATTTATAATATGTATTTGCATTTAAAAATTAGTGATTCAAATTCAAATTTGAAACCAGAAACATATGCAATACAATATTTTCATGTTAAGTCTCCAGAGTTTTAGAAAAGGAATCGTAGTTTTTAATAAATAATTAATTGAACTATTTGTTTTTGTGAGAATCTAACAAGTACTTCGACTGTGTAGAATCAAAGAATGCATCAATCAAGAATAGAATCAACTCACATTGTACAGATCTTTGTTGTCACGTCCCGATGTCATAGCTGTTCGAACACATGCCCATGTGAATCGTTTCATTTCGAGGCTCTAATCCTATCACGTTCAATACAGTTATCCAAAAGGGCCCATAATTCACATTCCATTACCCAGACACGTACAATCCTCTGAATATTGTGGATTACGAGTTTGAAAATTGAGGCATGCACTTCCCGAGAGGACATCCGAAATTTCAAGTACTCTCTCTTACGAAGGCAGTGTTGCCACTTGTCCTTCACAGCTAGTGTTTAAAACTTGAATCAGTATTGTCTAATAAAAGCAGGGTTAGTCAGGGTTAATATTTACAACAGAAAATTGGACTTAATGTTATACGCTTTAACAATTGTTACTTATTGCTACACAAAATTAACAAAAAAGAGCAAATAGAAGGAAATATAATCTATTATTAAGGACCATACAGCAAGAACACAAAAGTTTACAGAATTTGGGTATAGCGAAAGAGACAAAACAGAAAAAAATAGATTATAGACTATAAGGTGTCTCACTATAGTTCGCTGTTTCCCAATCAAAATTCATCGATATATCAAGCTAAGAATTTTGCCCCATGTATCGTATAAGCCTAATCAGGAGGTGATAATACGGTACATATTCTGAAATAAATACATAATGCATTAGAGTAAAATCCACAATTAAATACTTTTTTGTAAAAAGATGTGTTATAGACACTTTCACTTTCATGTGCCGAGTGGCAAATGGTAAGAAGGAATTGATTCACTATCTTAACTGTCCATCAACAAACAATTATGTCTAATGTATTACTTTTAATAACCGCCCTAATAGTAATTGTTCTAAAAAACTGTTCATTTAATTATTTAATATTATTTTTTTAAATTTTTCCAATATTGCATGTTATTTTAATATATTTTTCTTGTTGTCAAATAGGTATTTTAGAATATAAACGAAACATCCTGAATGAATGTTCTTGTCTTTCTTGAATTTATTCTAAGTCAATTACACTAAGACATTTCATTTTGAACCGGAATGACAAAAGTTCAGTATATATTTGTTTTATTTATTTATATTTATTTTTTAATATTGTTATTCGAATTAACCAACGTAATATGTATTTGACAAATTGTACTAAACACCAATCGTGGTCGGAGAATTCACAAAAAATGGGAATTCACTAGTTTTCTGAAAATTAAAACAGAGTGAGAAGTCTTAAAAAGGAGTGTGTACTGCATTGCCGAGAGAAAAAAAGCCCGTAAGTCCCTGTGCTACCAACTACACCTCGGCCGCGCCATGACGTCCGCTCGGGCCATGTTTTGCGGGTTGCGGGCGGGGCGCGCGGCAGGCGGCGAGCGAGCGGTTTTGCGGTAGTTTAGTTGCAAATCGGAGCGGGCGTGTTGGACGCGGCAACGCGTGTGCCGCGAGTAAATGCGCGAGCGTCATTGAGGTCGGCTCATCCCGGCGGCTGCGGCGGATTCGATGCGTGATCGAGTAATTGAGGCGTCGTCGTCGCCGGTTCCTGCATTAACGCGTCGCGTGTTCTCGTTATAACAATTATTACAAAAGCTGCGATGACGCGCAGGCTAACGCGTTTGGCGCTGTGGGTAATCCGCATTGCAAAATGGCTTATTAAATAATGGATATTCTTTGAAAGCTACGCAGCAGTGTATATTTGACAGTCTCTGCACTTTTAATGCAACGAAGTTCGCGAATTTATTTCCTGGTTTTTGTACTGAATTTCGACCAATAGAGTGAGCATGGTAAATTTGATACGGGCTCAAAGAGGTGCAGATTATACAAAAGGCTATTGGAAAAGTTTTTATCGTTGACAATCTGAATACTTAACTCCCGCAACTAATCTTTCTCTTTAAAGATGTTTGAAATAATGTCACAATAATTTAAAAACACAATGGTGCCTCTTGCAGCTTTGTTGAAATGTTAATATCTATGAATATTGAGTGCATATGTAACGAGGTAGAAATATTCCACGGGTAAGAGGAATTTAATTTTGAACATAAGCTAAAACGATTCTTGGATCCTAAAAAAAGCACTATACCTCGAAGATTTGCAATATCATTTCCATCCAAAAATAGTTTTCCAGAAATGTCCAAATCCTTTTCTACACAATTTATACAGAACATTTTGATGAAGAATGTACAATGCTCTATTATGAACGCTGAGATTATTCATTGCGAAACAAAAAGATGTTCACACTGTTTAATGGGTCAGTGATGATTGCCAAAAAATGATAGAAGAGAAATAAATATTGCACTTAATAAATACTCACTAAAGTATGCGGCCCTGCGTTAATTATCGAATTCTCAAATTGCATTTCAGTATCTCAAGCAGTCCGAAATTATTTGGAATTGAATTAGTTATTGAATCTTAATGAAAACCATCTGTTAGTGATACCAATTTAGCAGGAGACACTGGTTATCTGAAACATTGACGTATCTCTACAGAGCGCGCCATGCAACATTCCGAAATTCCACTAAACGTTCACGCTCCCTCGAGAGCAGTACCCGCCAAGGGTCTCGCTCGAGGGACAGTCGGGGGCAGACCACTTACTAACGATTCTCCTGAGGCCTCCAGCTAATTGACAACCTCCCCTTCCATCTCATGTCCGTCTCCGCCTTCTTCCACTTTCCTCCTTCATTTTTACCTCCATCTCCACCGCTGCCATCGTCACCACTCTCCCTCACTCATTTGACCCTACTCCCGCCTTCAGTCTCTCTGCTTCTCTCACTCTCATCTTTGCCTCAGCGCACTCTTCTGCTTCCGTCCTCACTTTCGCTTTCGACTATTTGACGTAGGCACGATTTTCGCTTCATTTTGACTTTCTTCACTTTTGGGTCGTAATTATCGAAGTGTCCACCTCATTTCTGAGCTGGCATCACTCTTTCCCCCTCGTAATCATCGGCCTACCCATCCCCGTCTGCCTAAGATTTCAAGCACTCTCCACAACGTCCCACATCGCCACGAACCCTTTTTCTCTCAGCCACTTGTGTCCCACCGAATTCCTCTTCTTTTCATCACCCTGCCTAGTCGATAACAGCTCAACGCACGAATAAGCGAGGAAACTAGCCTCACATTACTTTTACACAAAATGAGCCATTTCCATCTAGTTGATACACCTTTACATCGGAGAATGAATATTACTGGCCTCTACAGCATATAGAGATTGTCAAAGTTGTCAAAATGTTCTGTACGGTCACAAGGGACGCGCAATATTCAGGTCTCACATGTCCCACAAGTGCGCAACACCAAAGCCAAAGCCACTCAACAGGATGAGTTTCGCGGTACGCCATTCCCGGCGACGGGGCGAGCAACAGGAAGGGCCGCGGTGGGCCTTACCAGCTACGGGCGCGGGCAGGTCGACCGGAGCAAACAGCTGCCGGACTCAAGGCGTGGGCTCAGATGCACATCGCCACGTGGCTGGCATGTGACCCGAGACCATAAAACCCCATGCCCTCTCACGAAACGCTCTCTTCTCTCTCTTGAGTTCTGTTTTACGTGACGCTAGTTTTGACTTGCTTCATGTTCTCTTCGCTATACTAGATAAAATAGTGAAAGACGTTAACTTTGTAAAATTCAGAAGGATCTTCAGCCCCTTTATTTAAATGGAAATTGCAGTTAGGTACTGGACATAAAACACAGTTTAACTGCAAGTGTTTATGATTCATTATAAGACAAAGGCAACCCCTTTACTGTGCATCCCCATATCATTTCATTCAGCGAGATAGTTCTTTCCCTCATTATGTCCTTAGCTCACATTCCAAGATAATAATTTGGCCCTGCTTGATAGACATTTCACCCTGCACCTTCCTCCAACCCACCCCACCAACGACGCAGCGTCGCCCGGATAGCCACGAATTTAAATCATATTCCTACCATATAGCAGAGAAGGTCAAGTCTTTATATTCTCCAGAGATTTGTATCATTTATTTTGATACACCTGTATACCGAGGGATCTAAAAATGTATACACTCTTTCACAGAGAATATACTTGGAATGGAGAAATATACGGCTGTGATTGTTGCTTCCTATTTCAGTTACATGCTGTAACGATTACTTGTGTTCAAAGTTACCTCCAATTAATAACTAAACACCGTCAATTCCGCTGAACTGCTAATCGAGTATGTACATTTATTGAATCCTTCTGCATTCTCAGATCGTGGCAAGGTTGCGAACAAAATTAATCTTTAAAATGTTCGTTTTGAAACATTCATAAATAATCGTTTACGACTCTTTGCTGCAATTCTCTCCCAGAAGAGCTGCTCGATGAAATTACAAGTGGCCCCGTTTTCCTGGCCAGTGGATTGGAAAGAAATTAATCTGCGGTCGGAATAAAGACAAACGATTTTGTGCTGTAAAAGAGAAAACTACTCTTGTTTTTCATCGATGAAAAACTCGTTCTGGATATTGCAAGGGGAAAGTAATCATTGAAATTTGATTCCGCATTGACTGTCGATGGTAAGCGATCAAAGAGAGTTGTGATTGACTTTGGAGAGACTGAAAATGAATCATTTCATTACGGTGCAAAGAGAACCAAT